CTGGTAATCCTTGGGATTCCTGCATTGAAAAAAACGACTCATAAATCCAGCTCAAATATTTACTCAAATATTTACTTGTAAACCATAATGTTGGATAGGTTCCTGGTTAGTGTATACCTGTAAACCATAATGTTGGATAGGTTGGGTAGAATACTCCTGGCTAGTGTATACCTGTAAACCATAATGTTGGATAGGTTGGGTAGTATGCTCCTGGTTAGTGTATACCTGTAAACCATAATGTTGGATAGGTTGGGTAGTATGCTCCTGGCTAGTGTATACCTGTAAACCATAATGTTGGATAGGTTGGGTAGTATGCTCCTGGCTAGTGTACCTGTAAACCATAATGTTGGATAGGTTGGATAGGGTACTCCTGGCTAGGTACTACAGCTCCTTGAATATTCGAGGCCTTGCAGCGATTAAACGCTAGAGAAATCTCCTGAACAAATAATATCATCAAATTTGAAAAACATTACAAGTAACCCTTCTCACTTTACAACCGTAACCTTTAAAACCTTTGTCTGATCTTGCTTTAATGATAACTTGACGTTTTAGATTTTCAAAAATTGTTTATTTCAATTGTAATTTCTCTGCAAAACTGACTTGCGCATTTCTTGTTCATAAGAAAGACTGGTGAAATTATCAGAATCAAACACTCGAATTAGAAAAAAACGAGGGTTATCTTCTACATTTTTGAAATCTTTAACTCTCTTCATTTGTCATGCTTATACTATTTTTGCCGTTTGAGTGGATAGTGGAAAAATTTACATTTTTTTATTGCCTTTCCATGTTCACGGAGAGATCTTGTGGGTGTTAGGACATTTTATAGGGATGGACATTTCATAAATAAAAAATAATGGATGAAGAATTTCATAGACAGGACATTTCATAAACAAGAAGGATGGATAGGATAAGGATGGAAAGGATAAGGATTGGAAGGATAATGATGGAAAGGATAAGGATGGAAAGGATAAGGATTGGAAGGATAATGATGGAAAGGATAAGGATGGAAAGTATAAGGATGGAAAGGAGAAGGATGGAAAGGAGAAGGATGGGAAGGAGAAGGATGGATAGGATAAGGATGGAAAGGAGAAGGATGGAGAGGATAAGAATTGAAATATTGGAAAGCACAATTCTAACACACAAACTAGACATTGAGAGTAAACTTGAGAAACGTAGAACAAGAAATTAATAGATTAAGGACATTTCATAGACAGAAGAATTTTTTTTACAAATTTAAGGTTAAAACATTTAAAGATAGCGAAGCATTTTCACAGACAATAGTTTTATAGACAGAAACGAATGTTCAAGTTTCAAAATCTGATTAGTTATTCTCTCTATGAAATGTCCTATCTATAAAATGTTCTGTCTATGAAATGTCCTTTCTATGAAATGTTCTGGCTATGAAGTGTCCTTTCTATGAAATGCCCTATCTTTGAAATGTCCTATCTATTAAATTTTCTATATATGAAATGTCCTATCTATGAAATGTCCCTTCTATGAGACAAGCCTTTTAGGGCGCTTCGCGCCAATCTTCTTTTTTAAATGTTCTCTTTGTGTACATCGAAAAACAAAACAAACAAAAATTTCGCGGATTTTAAACAAAAAATTTCGTGGATTTTTAAAACTTTTCAAAAATTTAATGAAAATCGAATTTTGATGGAGACAAATATTTGAAATTTTGATCATTCATTAACCTTCCCTGGGGCCACTTGAGGTCCCACATAAAATTTGGGCCTGATCGGTTCAGCCGTTTTGACATTTATTGGATACAAACAAACAAACAGACAAGCTAAATTTAAATATAGATTTGAATGACGAACTGAAACTTTTTAAATACGGATAAACTGATTTATTTTACTACGAACAAGACAAGAATACAGTGGAAGGAAACCGTAAAGAAAAAAGATTGAGCAAAATGTTTCTCATTTTTCGTGTATAACCCTGTATTTTAAGATGTACCTGTTCTGTTAATCCTTTCTTGGCTAGGAACGATCTCTTGTTCTGTTCTGATGTTCCTTGAACCTTCGGGTTCTCAAGGAACCGTACTGCTGTATCCACCTGGATTCAATTATATTTTATCTCACAGAGATCCAGACTTTGAAATGTCGAAGCGCATTGTATATTAACTAAAGCAATAGGTACAAATATATATAACGAGATTCTAATTTTTATTTCAATTTCACATATTTAGGATTTCCCATATTGGTCAATACTCTCGGAACGAAACTTTAATAAAGTTTGTGGCTCAAATTTTGGCTCAAATTTTTTCACAGAAATTGGTTATTGGGTTTTGAATGTTTGTAACATTCTTTCTGAAACATGCAAATTCCGGGCTAAGGTCCAATCCTGTTCTTTAAATAATGTAATAATTTGCTTACTAAATTGGTTTATCTTTCAAACANATAGTTGTAACGGAAAATCATCGTTTGTAAAGTGAAAGGCATAAAGTCAATGTGAAATGATCATTGGTCAATTATGAAACCAGCCTATTTCATAATTTGGTTCATATTAATTTGAGATTTTCTATAAAATGATATTCCAGGGCCTAAAAGGTTATATAGCACAAATATGTGAAGTACACCTGCAGTATGGAAACAGTACAACAAAATGGCCGTTTTACACTTCTTTCTAGTAAATTCCCCTCTAACATAAATTCTATTCTCTTTGCTTGCAAACCATTTTTTTATTCACCCTTTACATATGTAAAACCCAGAACGATTTTTTATATATTTGGTAGGAATTGAACAATCTCTGTGAGCTTATTTTTATTTTGTCTTTGAGGTAGTAAACACTGCTGTTTTAGAATACTCTTTTTTCTAAATATTTGCGTTCAAAGATTGGAATCAAAAAGTAAAATCTGACATTATTTATGTAAAGTATTAGGATTATGTTTTTAAGAATTCTTTGGGTATGATAGACCAGCGAACATCACTAAACAATATCTTAAAAGAAAAGATACGCTCTAAATTGAACTAACCAGCTCCAGTCTGGGTTGTAGCTTTTCTCCCATATTCGTGTATGAACCCATACACTGAGTATGCACCGTATACACTCCGAACCTTATCTCATACTGATACTTGAAAAACAAGATTTTGTCAGGGGTTCATTTCTAGGGATAGGGCCGTCTCCAGGTTTTCATTCTTCAAGAAATTTTCTGTTCCATGGATTAGGGATTTGTAGTCTTACAACAATTAAATTTTAAGACCCTTTTCAGACAGAGAAACCTGCTGAGAAGGTAAAATCAAAAAGTGCAATTTTAGCGACGACTAGTTGTTTCTGTCTGATTTTTATTAAGTGCACTGGTAGTGCACTAGAAATGCACACAGATGAAACAAATAGGATGAGAACTAGAAATTGCACTGTTTCCGATAAGATAGCTAGAAGTCCAAATTCTAGATAGCTAGAAGTTTAGGAACACTAAATGAATGGATTACTAGAAGTCTGGGAACACTAAATGAATGGATTACTAGAAGTCTAGGAACACTAAATGAATGGGTGGCTAGAAGTCTAGGAACACTAAATGAATGGACAGCTAAAAGTCTAGGAACACTAAATGATTGGATAGCTAGAAGTCTAGGAACACTAAATGAATGGATAGCGAGAAGTCTAGGAACACTAATGAATGGTTGGCTAGAAGTTTAGGAACACTAAATGAATGGATTACTAGAAGTCTAGGAACACTAAATGAATGGATTACTAGAAGTCTAGGAACACTAATGAATGGATGGCTAGAAGTTTAGGAACACTAAATGAATGGATTACTAGAAGTCTAGGAACACTAAATGAATGGATAGCTAGAAGTCTAGGAACACTAAATGAATGGATTACTAGAAGTCTAGAAACACTAAATGAATGGGTGGCTAGAAGTCTAGGAACACTAAATGAATGGACAGCTAGAAGTCTAGGAACACTAAATGAATGGATAGCTAGAAGTCAAGGAACACTAAATGAATGGATAGCTAGAAGTATTGGAACACTAAATGAACGTATGGCTAAAGTCTAGGAACACTAAATGAATGGATTACTAGAAGTCTAGGAACACTAAATGAATGGATTACTAGAAGTCTAGGAACACTAAATGAATGGGTGGCTAGAAGTCTAGGAACACTAAATGAATAGACAGCTAGAAGTCTAGGAACACTAAATGAATGTATGGCTAGAAGTCTAGGAACACTAAATGAACGGATAGCTAGAATTCAAGGATTACTAAATGAATGGATGGCTAGAAGTTTAGGAACACTAAATGAATGGATTACTAGAAGTCTAGGAACACTAAATGAATGGATAGCTAGAAGTTTAGGAACACTAAATGAANACCGATAAATGTAAAAACGACTGAATCGATCGGGCCAAAATTTTGTGTGGGCCAAATTCGAAAAGAAAAGTCCACCAAAATTTGAAAATGATTTAAAATGACAAAAACGGGCCCACGAAGCGCTCTAAAGCCCAGTAGAGAATATTTTTCACATTAAAACCTTTATGTTTGGGAAAGAGTTTTATAAAAAGAAAAATCCCTAACCGTTATATCAAGCTTACCCAAACCCTTTCAAAATTACAAACGTTTTGAACGAAATCGCTAACAGACTGTTTGGGTAAACAAAATTTGTTAAATTATAGCTAATATTCTGTTAAAAATATCGAACAAATATTTTTAACTAAGAAATACTTAAGTAAGGGTTACTTCTAACAGAGTATATGAAAGATTAAAGTTTGTTTTTGTTTCAGAGATAGTAAACTTATTTACACAACATGGTTCTTCTACACGTCAAAATGAGGGAAAATAAACTTTTTAAAATTTCTCAAGGAATTGAGCCTTTGCCACAAACTCGATTTTCTAATCCCTATCTATGCTGTATATATGCAACCCAATATCATAGACCTTAGATATTACAAACTAAGATATCTGTTGGTTCAAATAATCTAAGTTTAAAATATAAAAAAATTGAGATTGTGGCAAAGACGCAATTCCTTTATAACAATATGTTTTAAAATGTATACAGTTTTAAATTAGAACATTACCGATATCTAGTTTATGAGTGACACACTCAAAGACCATATTCTTTATTATCAGCTGTTAAGCGATTAACGTCCAATGAAAATAAGACCATATTCTTTAATATCAGCTGTTAAGATTAACGTCTACTAGAAGTCTAGGAACACTAATGAATGGATGGCTAGAAGTCTAGGAACACTAAATGAATGGACAGCTAGAAGTCTAGGAACACTAAATGAATGTATAGCTAGAAGTCTAGGAACACTAAATGAATGGATAGCTAGAAGTTTAGGAACACTAAATGAACGGATAGCTAGAAGTCAAGGAACACTAAATGAATGGATAGCTAGAAGTCTAGGAACCCCAAACAAATGGATAGCTGGAAGTCTAGTTAAAACCGGATTTAAACCAAGTGGAGTTGTAGCTCTAGTAGCAGACAGAAACAAGCTTTCCTATTTAGTTCTTCCACTTACATGACATTTATTTTTTACCTAGAAAGATAGAATTTATAAGACAATTCTATGATCCTTTAAATACTTCTGCGATTAAGGTCAGAAACTCGTTCTTATTGAATGATATAATTTCTTAAATAAATTACAATTTTCTAATCTAAATAAGATATTAGTCAATATATTGATTCTCTTCAGGTTTACAGCTCAGTGCAAGTTTGATCAATATTATCATCAAGACGAGAACCTTCGAACTATTCAGTTCAGTTTATCAGCTGTTAAGCGATTAACGTCCAATGAAAATTTTGAAAGAACGAAAGTAATGATTTTTTCTAATTTTGAGAGGCAACCCTTATTTTTGTGAAAAGAATTGTTGTTTACAGTAAGACGTAAAATTATTTCTATTCTGTGTCATATCAATTCTTCTATTTTGAAGCTTGTAACTATCATTCAGATCATGTATATCATGTATCTATGTATTAGAGTCTTTGTAGCATAAAATTATTAAAATCAGTTAAAAAAGTTTTTTCTCGAACCTATAGAGATGAATCTTTGTTTCTGTACTCGAGTTCTGTTTCGGCCCGTGTTTCCGATATTTTGGACGATATTGTTGCAATCTATAACGGACGGAGGAAGGTGTTAAGGACAGTAGCAGAGGTAATTCCCGCCAAAACCAAAACATGTGAAAATATGGCGGCATGGATTTTACGACCATTTTGTTTTTACAGATAATTTAGTTTCACACCTTTTGACAAACATTATGAACCCATAGTTCCACCAACACAGGGATGTTAAGTTATTTATCAGTCCTTTGGGACAATCAGATTAAAATAAAATCCAGCTTTGTTGTGAAAAAATTCACGCATTTTAACTCAAAAGACAATGAAATCGCGTACCATACTTTTTTGGGTAATTAAAATTTTTACTTAACATTTTCCTCGACCAATTTTGCTCTTTGAAACACCCTTGGTAAAACTAAATTCCCTTAACTTTCCTATAAACAACTTAATCCTCTTAATATGAATTCAATTGAAGCTTTAGATATTTACTGGAATTCTTACATGCATGAAAAGGTTTTCAGGCAAAGTTAGCTTGGACAAGTTTTTATTTTGATTATTTTAAATGTTTCTTTCTTTGATTTATAGCCTTCTCCTTTAAAAGAGAAAACTAGAACTAAAATAAAAAAATGTTCTCCATTAACACCTAGAAACAAAATCAATTTAAAAGGTTTGTCAGCGTAATTTCACATGACCCTCCATGCAAAAATTAAATTTCCAGATTTCGAAATCGATATCGTCGATTTTCAAGGTTTAAAAGTGTTTAATTCAGATCATTTCTTTTTGTGTTCATGCAGTAGAAATGCGGAAGAGAAACCACAGTTGAAAATAATCAGTTTTAAAAAATACAAGCATTATAATCTAATTCATAATTGATCAGACAAAGCTTTTAAGGGTATCGTTGTGAATCGAGCATTGCCATCTGTTTGTGAGGGACACTTGAAAACACGCTTACAGTCACTTAAAGATGAATAAAAGATTAGAGTTGTAACCTGGTCTGTAATATTTCTAGGTGGAGGAGTTAGCTAAGTACGGAGTAACAACAAAACCTGAGATGCAAGGACTAACCCCAGATCAGATAAGAGATCTTAATCTAGGATCGTTTAAGAAAACTCTTTACTTTTGAACTTTCTAGATTTCTTTTCCAGTGCTCAACTTTAAGAACTTTTAAATTCAAAAATATAAAACATAGACTAAAAAGTAAAGAAAAAGAAAAAACTACGAATATATAAAGTGAGTGAAATCGATGTAATTTCGATTTCCTGTGATGTCCGATACTGTACTTAAGTAAGGTATCACAAACAGGATATTTTATTTATTCTCAGTTACCCTAAGCTTAAATAGTTGACGAGTATATGGAGAAATGTGAACCTAGTGGAGGTTTTTCATATAATCAGGTAATCCCTGGGATTCTTGTAAACCTATAGTGGAGGTTTTCATATAATCAGGTAATCCTGGGATTCTTGTAAACCTAGTGGAGGTTTTCATATAATCAGGTAATCCCTGGGATTCTTGTAAACCTAGTGGAGGTTTTTCATATAATCAGGTAATTCCTGGGATTCTTGTAAACCTAGTGGAGGTTTTCATATAATCAGGTAATTCTTGAGATTCTTGTAAACCTATATTGGAGGTTTTCATATAATCAGGTAATCCTGGGATTCTTGTAAACCTATAGTAAAGGTTTTCATATAATCAGGTAATCCTGGGATTCTTGTAAACCTATTTTTCATATAATCAGGTAATCCCTGGGATTCTTGTAAATCTATAGTGGAGGTTTTTCATATAATCAGGTAATCCCTGGGATTCTTGTAAACCTATAGTGGAGGTTTTCATATAATCAGGTAATCCCTGGGATTCTTGTAAACCTAGTGGAGGTTTTCATATAATCTGGTAATCCTTGGGATTCTTGTAAACCTATTTTAGGGGTTTAGTTCAGTAAGTTCCATAAAGGAATTGAGTCTTTGTCACAAACTCTGAATTTATAATCCCTATTTCTTTGGAACCCAATGTCGTAAATCTTTGATATTTCAAACTTATATTATTTGATCTGACAGAATTCATAGTTTGAAATATCTAAGATCTACGACATTGGAATCCAAAGATATAGGGTTTAGAAAAGCAGAATTTGTGGCAAAGACTCAATTCCTTTGTGGAGTAGGATGTTGTTGGAAGCCAAATAATTTCCCCGGTATTTTGATGAAAAAAACTTTAAATAAATAGGTTTGTGTACACCAGACGACTGCTGTCTTTCATTTTCATTGGACTATTCAAAATCAAAATCATTGTGGATGGTTTAAAATAAATCTGGGTAGTTAATCCTATGTCTAATGAAACTAACTGTATTCAGGATCCCTGCCAGAGAAGATGTGGTCGAGCTCCGATCCAAGGAATGAAAGATGTTTTACAGAATGCTGGACTTGAAGCAAAGAATAATGTTCACAGGTTTCTCGATTACTTTTATAAATCTATCTAAATCTAACAATCGAATGGGATTTTTCGAAACGAGCGCGTTGTAGCTTTAAACTGTACAGTGTACATGCTTATTGTTTAGGATTAAATTGTACAGTGTACATGCTTATTGTCTAGGTTTAAACTGTACAGTGTACATGCTTAATGTCTAGGTTTAAACTGTACAGTGTACATGCTTAATGTCTACGTCTAGACTGTACAGTGTACATGGTTATTGTCTAGGTTTAAATTGTATAGTGTACATAAAGTATAAAGTATAAATAATTTGGTATTTATTTATGAAATATAACAAAAACATACAAAATTAAGTGTTTCAGGAGAAAACATTTAAAAAACCTCCAAATATAGACGTTGAGGGAATATTTTCCCCCAATTAAAAAAAAAAGGGGAAAGGAAAGGAAAGTTACATATTTATTGTTGACATAACATTTTATATAACTGGTGGAGGATTGTTATGCCTAGGCCAGACTTCAAAGTCGACCCGGTACATAATTTGAATAGCTCTTTATGTCCTAATTTGACTGTCTATATGCTATTATTATTCTAAATGGTTCTTATAAAAGAAACGAAAAGTAATAGATAGAAATTTATAGATTGTAATAGTTTGACACAAAAATACGAATTACTTATAAAATTAAATGTTTTTCGGTATTTATGTCGTATTGGAGAAAGGTAAGAGTATATCGGTTATTATATTCTAGACTAGAAAAATTACCCTAGATAAAATACTGTATCTAGTAAATTACTAATTCTTTTTTCTATTCTAGAGAACGAGTGAATAAAGGAGAAGTTTTAACTAACAAAATAGTTTCACAATCTTTAGGAACGTTTTATCATTAAAAAGTTTTTCAAAAATGTATTACTAACCCCACCCCCTTACTTACAGAGCTTTGATAATAAACTCTGATTTTTTATTCCCATATCTTTGTAACCAGATGTCGATATATTTCAATTCAAAAATTCTGATCAAATTGTCAAAGTTTGAAAAAACAAAGGTTTACAGACTCAGGTTGCAACATGGAGTAAGAGCATTTGAGTTTGTGGCAAGAACTCAGTTTCTTTGTGATTTAAAAATAAAATGATTTGCAAAATCGGATTCTGCAATTTCAGATTACACATTACGAATAGTTTAAAATAACAAAGTTTGATAAAACTAGGGGTTCTGGATGGAGCTGTAAAGATAGTATTTCCGATGGGTCTTCCTCCGTATGATCCTATCAGGATGGAGCTAGGTTGGATCAGGATAGAACTAGGAAGGATTAGGATAGAACTAGGTAGTATCAGGATAGGACTAAGTAGGATCATGATGGAACTAGTTAGGATCAGGATTGAACAAGGTAGGAATCAGGATGGAGCCAGGTAGGATCAGGATGGAACCAGGTAGGTTCGGGATTGAACTAGGTAGGATTAAGATGAAACCAGGTAGGTACCAGGATGGAACAAGGTAGGCTCAGAATGGAACTAGGTAGGATCAGGATGGAACCAGGTAGGATCGAGATGGAATCAGGTAATATCAGGATGGACACAAGGTAGGGATCAGGATGGAGCTAGGTAGGATCAGGATGAAACCAGGTAGGATCAGGATGGAACAAGGTAGGGATCAGGATGGAACTAGGTAGGATCAGGATAGGATCAGAATGTAACCAGGTACGATCGGGATAACTAGGTAGGATACGGATGGAACCAGGTAGGATCAGGGTGGAACCAGGTAGGATCAAGATGGAACCATTCAGGATCCCCAAACTTTATTATATATTAGAGAACTGTGAGGACCTATCTGGAACCCAGGAGAGTACTCAGGTCCTTGATCCACTAGGTTCTCAACTCTGGTTTACAAGTAAGGAGATGAAGAGAGATAAGATTTTAAAGGTAAATGTGTAACCATACCATCATGTTTTAAGATCATGTCAATATCCTGAGTTTTTACTTTAAATTAACGTGCTGCCTCAAGAAACTGATTCATTATCATAAACGTGCTGACCTCAAGAAACTGATTCATTATTATAAACGTGCTGACAAAAAGGGGTCTGTCCTAGTGAACGATTTTTGGACCCCCCCCCATAAATAATCTTTTTCCATTTCCTATTTTCTAAATACTTACCTTTCCATCACATCTCGACCCCCCCCCCCA